TACAGATACTGAGCTCTGAACATCCAACAAAGTGAGATTCCCCCCAAGGAGATTAATGCATCATTACTCTACTGTTAATCCTGAGAAACTAAAAAGGAAAATATCTAAGAAATGTAAAAGTCATCAGTCATCTATCACCTCTTTATGCTTTTTACAAAACAAGGTCGTGGCATTTAAGCCCAGCGTGCAGCAATACAGACAGGATATCTTTAAGGAAGAGTCCGGGATTCAAACTTTGCTCTCAACTTTTTCTTGTTTTTGTCTTGTTTTCTCAAACTTGCAGCAATGCTTCACTCTCTGCTTTGTCTGCCCCAGAAAGCCACTGATGCATCGTGTCCATAAGAAATGCAAACGGCATCTGAGGCCAGACTGAGACGGAGCTTCGGTAATAAGTCACCGAACAGTCAGAATGAGTCATGAGCTAAATTATGGACTTCAACAAGATTTAGCTGGTCCCCCTCCGTCTGTCAAAACACACTGGTAAGGAGGAAAATCTTACTAATTCACCCAAGCGTGAACCCCTAAATGATCAAATATGCACACATACGTAGATACGAGTTCACAGATTGCACGGAAATGTCGATACAAGAGCAGCAGAGCTCCGTCGGTGTCTGCGAAATGAGGAAAGCAGACGTTGAGTGGGAGGATTTACAAACAATCACTACGTTATTGACCGAAGAGGCTCCTGAAGAACATCCTGCGGTCACAGCTACAGCGATCTGCGCTGTTCCATGACATGACTCGGAAAATTATGGTTTCACAGAGAGGCAGGGACGAGAATTCTGGAGGTTAACTGCTCTAGAGCAATTTAAAAACTGTTTGTTAGGCATAAAATGTGGCTTCAGTTTATTATTATATTCGAATCAATCTCCAAAATGCTGATGATTTGGGTTACAGCAGTGTCACTGACCTGCCGGTTTATAGAGTTATGTGCACACACAAATTCAATGTGTCTGCAAAAATGTTGGTTTATTCACAGGAATAGAAAACACCAGTGAAAAACTGGTGGGAAATGCATTCGTCAAGGAATTCTCCAGAAAAGAAAAGACCAGAACTGTGTCAAAAAGTGTATATTACAGTATGTATTTATAGCATCTTTTCTCCAGCCCAACAACTGTGATGCAAAAGCACAGAGACACATGTGCTGCAGGGTTCCAAGAAAACTATTCTCAAATTTTCAACTGAGCAAAAGCAAAATGAAGGCTGTCCAACGGAGTCTTCCAGCAAATAGAAACCTATGTAACCTTAGCTTCACAGTAAGCTTGTTGGCAGGTTTTGAATCGGTCTCTGGAGCTCCACATTTGGCTCGTCTACGCAGGTGGAAACAATTGCAGCTGAACATCGTCACATCCGAGCAGCCTGAAAATGGGAATCTTGATCTCGGTCCAAGCTAACCCTTATGTTAGAGTGAGGATGCAATCCAAGTCAATTACAGGAAACACCCTAAAATAAATATGCAAATTCACAGGTGCACACACAGGCTCATAAATTAGGCGTTCTGCCATTTGCTTTTAACTGGTAAGAACAGAAAGTAAAAGTTGAACACTGAGCTGCACAACAGTCCATTAGTCAAGTAGTCAGGCAGTAATGAACCTTAAATAAATGCAATGACATATTCATTGTTAAAGTAATTTGCTTTTGTGGAAAAAAGCCAAAAGATTGCATCACAAGACTGTATTAAACGTAAACACTTGCTGAGTTGTTACTTTCCTTGAATCATAAATCGAACGACTCAATTACTGCCATGCACTTTTCTCAGGTATCAGTAGGAAACACTCAAATGCTTTCATAAAAAGTAAAATGCTGCTGCTTTTAGTAGAAGTGACCCTGTTACCTCATTTCTTGCTGACCTTCACTGGTTACCACTTTCCTTGATTTTAAGATTTATTGCATGTTTTTAAAGCCTTAAACAGCCAAGCGCCAACTTAGATTTGTAATCTTTTAACTCCTTATGAGCCTGATTGCTGTTTGACATCCTCTGGCAGAAACTTTGAGACCTATTTCATGGAATATCCTGTAAGTGTTTTCTTCTATCACATTCCCAAAAACATTCTTGTATTATGGTCTTAATCGACATTTATGTTTTCTGTTTTATAGTTTTTTGTTTTCTACTTAATTCTTGAATATTGTACTTTGTTTTTATAATTAATTTTGTGTTTTGCATGTTGTTTTTATTTCTTGTTTTTATTCACTGTGCAGCGTCTTTGAGCGTTCAGAATCACGCTTTATAAATAAAATGTATTATTATTATAATTAGGGATATCCTGACCAAGTTTATTTGCCCCCAATCCAATCTGAATCATTTAATATTTTGTTTCTGCCAATGGCCGATAACACTTTTCTTGATATTACACACTCCTAGTATTGTAGATTAGTTGTAGTACCTGGTGGTGCCACCAGGTGGAGCCGCTTATTCTTTGTTGCTGTAGCAACCAGGAGAGACTGTCAGTTCTGTGTTGTCAAAAAGAGAACATTGTGGGGGTTTAGCAAGGAAAGGGGCACCATGACAAAGTTTGATGTGATGTCTAAGGTCAGGTCCGTGGCTTATAATCACATCATTACATTAGCACGAAATTAATGTTCAGTGTGTGGAATTTATGCGACAAATTAGATAGATAATCCTGCAAGTATTAAAATTTATGACACCTGTATGACAGTGGATGTAAACAATGCATCGGGCTATGTTTGTGGTGATACTGATGAGTTAAAAATGTATTTCATTGGCCCCAATTGTATGACTATTGCATTGTGGTTAGGTTTTCTTTTGATAATGTACGGATAAAGTTAGTGTTATTAGTAGCAGTATTTCATCACCATCAAGTCATATTGCACTTTGGGTAATTGTGATGGATGCATTTTAATTTCACAACTATCAATTAAAGGATTCATCATGAAACTAATCAGATTAATCAGCACTGGAAACATGATTAGTTTAAACCTTAGTGTATATGCACTGTACAAGTCGGTCATGCTTAGCAAGATTTAAAATGACAGGAATCAGATTTTTTTTTTTTATCAGCATCTTATGGAAGCTTATGGAATGAAAGTAGGTTTAAAAAGGCATTTAGGATTCGAGTCATCTGGGATCTACTCATCTGTCAGCTTCTTGGTTTGAGTTTACCCACACCCTCAGCACAAAGCCCACTGAGCCTCATCTTTAGCTCTAAGTGCCACAGATGACCGCAGGGTAATTGAAAGTGCAGGGTTTATACGCGTCCACTTAAGTCTTTCCTGTTTGAAACGAACAAAAGCCGTAACACAACTGGTCACCTGCAGAAACTCCACTGAGACGACTGGCCTTCACACTCGCTGGAGTAAATTTATCAAGACGAAAAAAAAAAAATCCCCCCTCGTCTGGTCCAATTGTGTCTCACCTTGACAAACTGGCCACAAGGGCTCCATTTTCCTACGAAGATTGAGTAGCAATCAGAGACACACACACAAAACGCACAACTGTGTGTCTGCTGAGGGTGTTTACAAGAACCACAACAACTTGACTAATCCATCACAGTGAAACACGGAGGCGGCAGCAGACTCCACTTTCTCATTGTCTTCCACGTCTCAGCATCTGCATGATTTGTATTTAAATGAGAATAATTATCTCATATTCTGCTAAATTCAACCAACAGACTATCGATGGCCTTTTCTAATACTAAAAGAATGATGGCTGGTTAAGTCCACAAACAACGCAAGGATGCAGATTATGGGCCCGGTTGGCCAGTAGGAGGCTCTACAGCGGATAGCAGCGATAAATCAGATGACTGAATCCTAAAACAAACTGATCACCGAAGGATCCAAGATGCATCAGCTTCAAGTCCTCTACTCAGTCCCTCATGTTTGTATTGATCAAATCTGATCACAGGGTGCATGCACATCTATTTGGCTTTAATGTGAGTCACTTTCTTTAATTTTAAAAGTGTAAAAGAGACAAAGAGAGTGTCTCTTGATGGGTATGATTTGCTTTGGAATCAAAATATAAATGCAAGACAGTGGATATTTTGTTGAATAAAGAAGTCAAATACCACTTATTACTACTAAAATTATTTTCTGTGCAAAGCTGTGCATAAACAAATACTTTATTCTGGACAAACTGTATCTGCGTTAATATGTTACAGATGACCCCGTAATTTGGGCATTATCAACCCATTAGGTGACCATACAGGACTTCCTTCCATCCATTCTTATCACTGACAAACAGAAAGCAACTGCGATGATCTAGGCGCCCTCTTGTGGTCGTATGAATAAGTGCATGTAAAATCTCAGCCGTGGAGTCGTTATCCTTATCCTTATCATAACCTAACCACGTTCGGTGCCTAAACATCAAATGAAAAAGCGTGACTATATAAAGAAAAGCCAAAATAAGTCTGCCAGTCTGCTGACTGACCCCTCCACCAACCCCACCAACCTCTAAATGCAGACTTTTGTTGATCATTGTGAGGACCAAAACCACAGCTCCACTGCCCTGAAATGAGGTGACAACAGCTCCTAGAAGGTGGAGGAGGGTCCAACCGGCACATTTGAGAATGTTGCACCATGATAACATCCAGAACAGGTGCACCACTTCCACAGTTTGTTCAGAGTGTGTAGATTTAATCACACTGATAAGCTTAAATGAGGCTTTTCTTATTAATGGTGATATCCCTTTCATATGCTTTGCTGAGCAACACAGTTGTTTCTGCTGGCAGTATTCCTGTTCCTCCCTTGCTGCTCCTGCTTATCTTCCTCTCAGCTAAATCCAATATTATTGTTTAACACTAAGCAACTTAATGACTTTCCTAAAAGGGATGTAATGTGCTGGTGAGTAGACTGTTTATTAGAATGTGTGCATATGGGGGGTAAAAAAAAACAAAAAACATTGGGCTGCTGTAAAATCCATGTTATGCAATTTAAACTTTCATATCCCCACAGTGACTCTAATTACATTGAACTATTAGATTTTTTTTTTTTGTCTTTTTCAGTTCTTTCAGTTGCCTCCAACTGTGTTTGTGTGAAACTCTTACCCGAGTCCTGCCAGATCAGACACCAGGTTGCCAAGGGCAGCAGCTGTAGAAAACATGAAAGGAAAAGGAGACGTGATTACAGGAAGAGTCGGGAAATTAAGGTTTGTGTCGAGGACAGAAAAAAAATATAACAATATACATCAAACAGCCACAACACTGAGAGCAAAACACTGAACAGAAAAAAAAAATGCAAGAACACACATTGCAATGGAAGAAGGTGGTCAGGTCTGTAGGGATGCAACTCATTTTTAGTGTCAAATGGTGAAAATGGGGAAAAATGTAGATCAGTGTTTGTCTTTAAATGTCTTTTTTTGTGGTAAACTCACAGATATTTAGTTTACTGTCACAGAGGACTAAAGAAACCAGAAAAGTCACATTTAAAAGGCTGGAATGGGAAAATTTCTGCTTTTTTTTTCTTAAAAAAATGACTCTGCTCATCAACGCAGGTGGACATTAATTCAGTCGTTGACAGCTTATTGGTTAACTGTTACAGCTCTGAACAGTCGAGGGTGTGTGCATCATGTGTTGGTAACAGATGGCAGCAGGATACATTATGGGAAGAAGGCTAACCAGTGGAGGCAGTGTGATGGAAAAACTTAAGCCCTGCATTCATGTGGATGTTACTTTGACTTCTACCACCTACCTAAACATCGTTTCTGACCACCTGTGCTATCTAAAGGCAGTGGCCTCTTTCAGCAGGATAACGCTCCCTCCAACACTGCAAACTTTGTCCAGGGTTTGAAGAACATGATAAAAAGTTTTTCATATTGACTTGGCCTCCAAATTCCCCAAATCAGCTGGAAAAAACAAGACCTGCACTTCCTGCACTTAAAGTATCTGCTGCCGATGACTCCGAGCTGATTTGGTGGCACAAAGAGGATCCACACAATACTAGGCAGGTGGTTTTAATTCTCCTAATTATCTGTGTTTCCTATATTAAGGTATACCTGGGGGAGTGGGCTCAGTTGATGTGCCAGATATAACTTGTCTCCTGACACTGGGACAAAAGCCTTCTAAATACAAACTGTTGAGATACACAAGAACTGGGAAACAGACTGTGGGTGAAGTGTAGTTATCCTGATATCTCCTGTGTCCTCTTCTGATTTAATTTTAAAAATCCTAACAGAAGCTGAGCTGTAGGCCAGGACCTAGAGATGAACTAGCACTTCAACTGTCCCCACATGCCTTCCTCTGTGTAGATGATATAACACCGTAGTGCTTAAGTGGCCACTTGGAAAAGATGCAGCATGTTTGTACCAGTAATGTCATTTAGCTCAGTAACTAACCATGAGTCCTAACAGGCATTTCTAAATATAAAAAGACACGTCGAGTCAGTGTTTCTTCCACATGATATAATGGATAACCACAGTGCATTCTGGGGTCATTAAAGAGTCAGACGCACTGCAAAAGACCACACTGCTGCAGATGTCCTTCCTTGTAACGTCACATAAATAATAGCAGGAGCAGGGAGTGAACCTCAGTGACATTATCCCTGAATGTTTTCTCGTCACTAACTGGAGTAAAGCTGGAGAGTAGAAGACCAGGAGCTGGGAGTTGTACAGTTCTTTTTGTTCTGAGCTTGTACTTTACCCCAGTAGTGGCTCCTAAGAGAAAGAAATGATTGCTTGTATTCTCTCGGTTGTCCATGACCCCGAGTTCAGATTATTGATGCAGCTGCTGCAGCAGCACTGAAGCCCCTCAGGGGGGACGGACATCGGTGCCATCACTGCTGAGATACAATCTGAATCCAACTCAGGAAGGAGGTCAAAAGTGGCTCCATCGAATCCTTTAGCTGCTGCAGGATCAATGTTGAAAACAATATACTATGCAGCCAAACAAGTATCCAAGGACCTGCACCCACATTCATAAGCAAACGGGAATCCAGATAAGACCAGAGAGGTGCAGTCTTATTAACAAACCACACTTGACCTCAGTGTTGGTATCAGCAGGACTCTGACCTCGACCTCACTGAGGAAAGAGCATCACTGGTAATAAGCTGCTGGGTTGTCTATATTTGGTTCAAATCACGCATGTTTGCTGCCCAGTAAGCTCTTAGAATGACTTCATTAAAACTTCAGAGTGGAAGGAGAGAACCACGGCAACAGCCAGGGAAAATATGCAAGTTTGTAATTCTTGACCCTGCAATCAGTGCCAAAACACACACAGCAGTTTAGGGCTAAACGAGGAGATCGTTTTGGTATTTTTAGCAGAAATGTTTGCACTGGGCGGCATCAGGCTGAAGTCAGTGAATAAGATATGTCAAATATTTTCTGGCTTCGGTTGATGAAGCAAAGTGCATGTTTTATTCCTCATTATATCATGGTTTAAAGCCATGCTTTTAGTAAAATGTTCATTTCTGATGAATTCTGCTAAATATGGAACCACTGCAACTTTGATGGTGTTTTGTAAGTCCACATAAGGCACTTAATACCAAAACTGCCTGTCTGACTGCAGCACAAGTGAACATATTTCTCAGCTTTTGTCAAAACATTCCTGCATCGAATATTGCTGAGAAAATGTTTTCATTTTCATGCTACATCCGTCATTGCAAGACAATCTGCTGGTACACAAAGAAGAAAGACGCATTTGGGATCTTGGGTTAGGTTTTTTTTTTCTTTTAAAAACAGACTAGGATGCAGAAATAAAATATCCTGCTGCTGTTGTACATCATACCTCGGTACAATCCCCCCGAGGAGACAGACGTAATGGAGAGACCATCAGCTTTGATTATGTGGTCAAGCAGCTCAAATGCAATTACAAGGATGTGTGCCTTTAACTCTAAGCCTCTCTGTATCCTCTCAGTCAGATCTAATTCACCTCCACAGGTTGCTGAATAACACTCATCACATTATAAGGGTTTTTTTTTTTTTTTTTTTTTTTTAAGCAATTCAAGAACGTAAATCACCAAGTATCAGATTTTTTAATAATATTTGTTCAGTTGTAAAAGCCTTGCATGTGGACAGTGATGCAGTTTGTAAAGTTTTGCCTCTGTACAACACCACAATAGATTTAAAATGAAGCAATCAAGACGTTCAAGGTGTTTATAAAAACTATTGCATTGACTGTTTAGGTATTACAGCTGTTTTCAGCAACAGGACGAACCAATATACTTACAAATATGAGAAAAATGTGGAATATTTAGATAAAAAACATATGATTCAGTGACAAGTCTGGAAGCCTCAGCCTCCTCCTATTGCCGGTTGTTTGAGAGTTTTTCTGCCTTCGGTTTTGTCTTGAGAAAGTGAAAAACCAAACAGACCTTTTTCACAGCAGACATTCTGGCTTGTCAAAGCAGGAAGAGAACAGGTGGAATTAAATGATGGTCCGGCTCCATTAGGCACCTAGTAAACTGTGACAGTCAGACATCATCCACAAAGGCAGGAAATCACTTAAAGACCCCCTCTGGTGAAAATCTGATTTTGCTTTTTACCTCAGCAACATGCACATATGGTGTTTTGTGAGATGATGGAAGACATATAATGAGCTAAAGTAGAAGGCAATGCCATGGCTGAGTATTTTCACATTGAAGCTGCAGTGTATTAAAAACAGTCTTCTGGGGTTTTAAACTCCAATATTCTCCAATATTACAACTTTTTCAGTGAAAGCAGTTTTTGAGCAGAGATGTAGGTGAGCTGGTGTGCTCCAGCTGCAGCAAGCAGAGAGAGGTGAGTCAGAGATCCACAAATTGTAGTGGAAGTGAAGGCTAGAGTTACATGTAAGACATTTCTAAGCAGGAAGTAATTGTTGCACAGAAAAAAACAGTGTAAATATGTAATTTCGATACACAACTGTGAGTTTTCAGGGGTTAAAATCAACAATCGGAGCAACAGAGCAGCCATCAGTAGCAAAGCTGTGCTTTTCCTGCCGTCACAAGTTAAACTGTCTGGTGTAAAAAAAAGTTCCATTGGGTTGACGTCAGCTCTTGGGTCGCCTTCGCCTTGTGTTGTAGGTCATTATCCATGTGTACGTCAAGGGCTGTCCCATCAGTTTTACAGCATTTGGCTAAATCCAAGCAGAAAATGAAACTCTGCACACGTCAGAATTCATCCTACTGCTTCCAGTCACATCCTCAATAAACACCAGCCAACCTGCTCCGTTTGCATCCACGCCATGATGTTTTCCTTCTCCGTACTCAAATCAAGTTCATCTTGGTTTCATCTGTCCAAAGAATCTTGTTCTAGAAGCAGGCAGCTTTTGAAGATGTTCTCCAACAACCGTTCTGCTCTTGAGTGCTACCAGTAGTTTGTATTTTGGAGTAAACAGCATTTACACTCACAAAGTGTAACTTGATGATAGACCTGGACAATGATACCTCTATCTCTTTGAGAGCGTCGATGTTGTTTCAGCGGTTTTTCTTCACCAAGGATGAAACTCTGCAATCATCCACTTTAGCTGTGGTGTTTCTGAGCTCACCAGTGCCTTTCTTCATTTAAAAAAAAAGAAAGAAAAGCTTCTCCTCTCTCTGATTGGTCTGTTTCAGCCTCTTTCACTTGCACCTCTTTGGACCACATATTGAGAGTGATGAACAGCTACCAAGTACAAATTCATCACTTTAGACCAACTTCACACCTTTAATCTGCTTAATTTGTCATGAAATGATGCGACAACAGCACATCTATCAACTGCTCGATTACTTTTGCGCCTGCAAACATGTAATTTCTAAACGGTTAATGGAATATCTTTGTTAAACCACTTGATTTAAAGCTTTAAGTCGACACATCAATCACACCTTGATTGCTTTATTTAAAACCCACTGTGGTGGCAGACAGAGGCAAAATCATACAAATGCTGCTGAAAAAATACCTACTGACCTGACGGTAGACAAAAAGAAAGCATAAATCAAAGAGAGAATGAGTAGTTTTGGGCAGTACAAGAGTTTTTAGATCTTGTTAAAATAAAACCTTGGGGTAAAAATGAAAGCTTAAAATACTGAGTCAGTAAAAAGCTGAACACCTTCTCTGTTCCTTTTTATTGCATGTTTACTTCAGCATGGACCTCAACGTTTTTCTCGACAACTTTCTCAAACTTTCCAGCCCCGCAGCGAAACCTGTGCTACTGTGTGCATGTGTAGTTGAGACCGCTGGATAAATGGACCGTGAAACAACGTGGAATAACAAATGGGAGACTGCGGGGATGTTTTATTGGACTTTTGTCTGCGAGGCTACTCAGGAGATCACAGTGTTCACAGACTGACAAATGGAAGCTCTGCAAAGCCACAAAAACACAAGTACACCTACACACAACCGCACATCACTTCATACACTGCACTGGTATTAAAACCTATTGTGTGCATTCACGTGTGTCTGTATGTACGTTCAAATATAAATAAATTAGCTCAACAGTTTGAGTTCTGAAAATAAATTCTATTATGTTAAACCATTAAGCTACAGCTCTACAGTCAAAGGTATTTTTAATCACTAGTGTTAACCGAGACGAAGAAAAATTAAGTTATCAAGCCAATTTCATTAAGTTACCTCAACTATAATTGAGATTCAAATTAACTGATGCAGAAATTTGAGTTGAAATTGCGCCCAAAGGAAGTTGATGCAACATTAATATTTCATTACCACCCCCACAGAGCTTCTATGTGATCTCATCTATTTTATTTGTTCATTTTATTCTTTTTATTTCTTTTATATTATTCATTTATTTATTCAATCTATTCACCATAACTATGACTGTTATTTTAACTACTTCATCGTTGTTGTGATTATTATTATGGTTATTATTATCACTATTGTTATAATTTTTGTTACCGTTTCCGTTCTGGTTATTTTTGTTGTATTATTGTAAGTATTTGTATATTTCACTTAATTAATATTGTTATTTGATTCTATTTATTAAATTCCTTTTCCTGTTTTTACTTATGATTAAAATTTAAACAGAGTGGTATATCTTTAGTATATACACCTATCTTATCTCACTACATAACCGATGTTTATATAGCAATTTATAAAAGCAATTTTGGTGCTTTTATTGTTGTGTTATTGGTGCTGCATTGATTTATTTTATAAATCTTCTACCACTTTTAACTCTATTGCTCCACTTTTGCTTCTCTGGTCTGTTTCCTTTCTGTTTGGCCTTCTGTTGTTCTTCTGATGGTCTTCCTGAGCGTCCTTCTTTCTGTCAACTCTGTTTTTAAAGGTGCCCTATAAATAAAGTTATTTTAGTGTGTGTGAGAGTCAGAGCTGAACAAATCTCTTGTGTACGGTGGATATTTGTCAAAACTGGTCTCATATCAAACTAGTAAACCAGAGACTAGAGGGAGGACATCCAGCCTGGAGGCAGTTATTTAGTCTGATGTGTTAATCCATTATTAAGTTCTTAAAAGTCAGAAGAGACGCATTAAGAAAACAGTAAAGCGGTAAAATCATGAATCTGTTCGATCTGGGTGTTTGATGGTGAATCTGAGCAGAACCTGGTGATTCTGTGACTTCATCACCTCAGTTGTAATGTGTAATAGATTTAATCCTGTTTGAGGTTTTCAACATCATTACCTCGGTTTAAATGAAGCAATTAGGCCAAATCAGCAGCAGGACATTTATGGTGCAGCCTCCATCTTCATCAAGCTCACATTTGCCACCTAGAAAGTGATTGGTGGTGTCGACTGCAGACTTGACACTCGCGCTAAATCATTCTCGACCGCGTTCGACCACTGCAGCCTCCTGATTTCAGATTCCTGAGCATGTCCCGATCCAGCGGGGATGAGCAAATGGAGTCTGAAGGCTAGAAAGTGGGTTGAACAGAACTTCTGCCTGCTTCTTTCCTCGTCGGTGGCTGTGTGGGGGGCTTCTGGGTAGTCGAACACTTTTTTTTCGAGCCGCTAATTTAAAAGCAGGGCATCTGCAGCTGCAGCTCGCTGTCCAACCTGGATTAGAAAATCTCAACCACACGGGGATAACAAGCTCCGCCTGTCAAACTGACCGGTGGCCTGCCTGAGAATGATTTCTACACTTTCTGCTTGAGTTTGCAGCCTGATAACCTTTTCTCTGTATAAATCCCACCATGCCTGAAATTGCTCCATTGGCTTAATCAAAATCCCAATTGTCCATGCGCCGTGAAGTTCCCAAAGAAGATGATGAATGAATGAATAAATGCATATTTTAAAATGGAGGTATGAGGTAAAAATCAACAGATGATAAAACGAGATTCAAATGCCTCCTCTGTACACTACACATGCACTTCTCTTTGCTTTACTCTGATACGGTTGAGTCTTGTGCAACCCTCCAGCTTCACATGAAATTTAATATTTAACACAAAAAGCTTCAGGCCTCTGTCTTCTTAGCTCTCTTACAACATCAGAAGAGTTTACTCAGTCTGTTTCATGTTTTAAAGCCTGACAAAAACCAACCAAAAAACACTGTCGTCACCACCAACAGCAGCAGAATCCAAAGAGGAAAGATCAGTTTCTGCAAACGACAAAGTAACGGGCGGAAGAGAAGGAAAATTTGAATACGAGACGCATTAATCTAATTCACTCGGATACTGACGGATGGTGATTACGCTCATTAAATCACAAAGGTTGTTTTTCCTCCAATAAATATGTAAATAGACAGTTATCATGCTTCACCTTGAGCTACAACATCAGGCCTCTCAGAGCTCCTGTTTGCATCATGGTTATAGTAAAATAGCGGCAAGTGACTAGCAGAAACACTGCACAGGAACAAGTGATAACATTAAAATGCAAATGTTCCTCTTTAAGCTAAGTGGACATTACGGTTTCCATTCAGTCTGCTGGGGAACAGAATTATCATATTTATGAAATGTTCATTATCTAGGACAGTCACTCCTCCTCCTCTGCTTGTTCTCCTGTGTGACCTCACTTATTCATATTGTGCTTTTCTCCTTAAAAAAAAATCCCAAAACTGTCACAGCTGTGGCCATATTTTGAGTTTATCTTGAAAGCCTCACTATGAAGCAGCACATTCTGGCAACACGGGAGCTAAAAATACCTCGACTGTGATTCAGCATGCCGTCACTCTAATTAGAAAGGGGATTGAAAAGGTCTTTCTGGACCTAAACTTTGCCTGTGAGTTCATACTGTTGAATGTAACTTCAACATCTTGCTAAATCTGGCAAGAAGTTATTTGTTTTCTTTTATTTTTAGAGATTTTGTGCTTTCTGCTCTAAACACTCCACTAGAGGGTCGCCCGAAATATGAATTGAATTTGAGCTGCATGCAGATTTACTAGAAAGCAAATGACACAAAGCCAAACTAGAAAAAATGTGAAATCATAGCAGACATTCAACACAGATATTACAATTTTTCTGAGTCGCTTTGGTAACATTTCTCAGATCAGAATTGAAATTCTCAAAACTACTTGTTCAATCTTCGCATCATTGTGTCACTTGTGCACATCAAAAAAAGCAGTTTCTCATTACTTTGAACAAGTTCTAAATGCTTTGGTACAGCCACGCAAATGATTATGTACAGTTCTCTGCTGTTTCCTACATTAACAATTGCTTATGTCATGTTGATTAAAATGTAGTATAATGGGTCTCTGTTGAATAGTCTCACCTCCACAACATTTAGACTTTAGTTCATTGCATAAGTCTTTACGTGCAAAATAGTTGAACAAGTTGTCAGAATATGTCGAGCATGTTTCTGTACATTTCCATCTGTCCTGAATTGGTAGATTGCTCCCAGGTGAATCTTGATTTTCACCAATGAAGGGAAATGTATGTAGCATAACATAGATTAACCAATAACCAACCAGTTTTCTGAAATAGCTCAAAGGTGCATCTTATGAACCATCAACAGACAGGAATGTCATGAGTTATAAGAAGACTGCACTGTATTTCCTACAGCACTGCATGTACAGTTTTCCCTAAGGAGACTGTCCTATGTTCACATTTCTATTTTTGTTTATTCTTTGTGCTGTGCAGTGCGGTCTTTTCCTTTCTGTATCGCAGTGACATGGTCTGTCAACAAACTACAGTACAAACAGTAAATGTGAATCTTGTCCAGTCCCTTGCAATCAATCTCCCACATACACTAAGCTGTAACCCACAATTTACTATAATTGTCATCAAAACTTCAGCCATAGTTTACATCAGAACATCCCTCCAGAGTACACGGCTATATTGACAACATGACTAAAGAATTTGACCGTCTTATCCGTACACACTGACACAAGGACTTGTCATTCTGATGACACGTTCATTGAGACAGACATTTAGTTTTGAGAGAGGAACTATGGATTTTGAGCAAGTAATTGCCTTTTGCAGGTAATTCATGTACGAATTGTTTTGAGAAATGCACTTACTGTTTTGCAAATGTCGAGGATGATTCGAAAAATGTACCAAAGTGACTGAGAAAAACTGTAAAAGGCCTGTTTGCAGAATGTACCGAACAACAAGCAACATGGATGTTTGTCTTGTTGTCAGCATCTCCACCGTTACACAACAACCGTCCATCAAATTTTAATGCCATTCAAAGTCCCTCACAGAATTGAAATGATGAATACCATTTTAGACCATAGAAAGGACATTAAACAGTAAAAAAAATCAAGGATGTTCTTTAAAAGATTCTGACCTGCCATCGTTGAAATGCCGAGGACGACGCCGATGGATAACTCAATCTGTGTGCCCTGAAAAACAAACACACAACAGAAGTTAGACTGAAAAACTCTCCATCCATTTATTATTTATGTGTTATGACATAAGACACATATCTGCTCATGTTCGTTTTAAAAATTATATTTAGAGAGAAGTTCAGAAATAGTGTATTTAACTGAGCTGCATCTTCTGTGTATTGTTGTCCAGATAGAAGCTCGACAGTGGACAGAAATTTATGGTCCACGGTGCCACAACAAATCAAGCCTCACCGAGACACTTTTCATCTCCCACAAATCACACACCTGTTTATTTGTGCTATTTTAGGCTTTGGCAGAAGCTCTCAGTCTTATTTTATGGTTTCTGTCTTTAGAGTTTTATCTAATAGAAAATGGAAAACAACCTTCAGGATGCATTAGTTGCCTTAAATAAAAAAGGGGGCAGCTGTGGAAATCACAAAGTACAGCCAGACCTTTGGGTTTACATTTCATTTGTTTGTTCTGTTTGGGTTCCTTTGAACACAACATTTCTTTGCCTGTGGCGAGACGAACGAAAGGGCAAAAACAATCCAACAGCGTCAAACTATATTATTTTCTTGTTCTCCCTCTGTGCTTTCTGCATGCGTATGTACACAACAGATTCTTCATGTACACTTCCCGGTGTGGAAATCCGTCATCCCCACTGAGCTGCTCACCACCGCAGGACACTTACAGCCACTATCATAATGCAGTTGTCCAGGAATCCAAATCCGACAAAGGGGAGCGCGTTGTGCAGCAGAACTGTGAAATAAACACAAACAGCAAATCAGAAACAGACAAAAGCAGCAGAAAGTAAACAGAGTGATTCTGCATTATTAATAATAATTTTAAAAAAAAAACTGTGGAAGGTAATCAAGCAGCATGGAGCTTTAACCCTCTTCAGGACGTTTGGGGTCTTTTGGACCTCAGGCCATTTGGTTGAGGTGACAGGTATTTTTATTTTATTTTTTTAAAAATGTAACAACAGGGACATTTATCATGAATTTGGAACAAAAAATACATCAGCTTATCAGAAAATGTATTCAACACAGTATAAAAGTCTAGCAACATTAAAGTCCTAAATAGGGTTAAGAGAAGAAACATGAGGCAGTTTGCAAAAAAACCTTGCGCTCTAAATAACTAAAAAGCAGCATAACATTAGACTTTTTTCAAATCAAATGTATTTTGTATTTGAAAACAAAAACAGGAAAATGCATCATAGACACCAAACAGTACAGTAATGCGTTCGTCTTTTTATATGCATAGACAGATATTTAGTGTGTATCAGATAATACAGACAGTTTGATGAACTGTCGCTGCTGTGAAAGTGAATTTTAAAATGCCGCCGACACTCCGGGAAAGTTTCTTTCTGTTTGAAGTTCAAGTGAAGTTCAGCGGAGTTAAACTGATTTGGAGAGAAGTGCTCGTTTAAACACGAGTGTTTTCCAAAGCAGCTTTATTCTGTCGCAGCTCTGCTTCAGCAAATATTAAGAGCTTTCAGTCCTGCCGCGGGAGTCTCAACGCACAAAACACCTACTCACTCAGCTCCGAAACAAACACTAATGCTACACCAGAGGCAGTTCTGATCTGTAAATGTGCGCCGGAATGGAACGACGAGAGCTCTTCATCTCCCGCTGCAGAATCAGAACCCGGCGTTAGGTTTGGACGAGAATAAACTAAACGAGAACTCAAGTGTGAAATCAAACAGCAGCAGTGAGAGACGACCGTCAGTGGGTATTTTTTCCCCTCTTATGTCTCTGGTATAGTTTCATATACTGACGAGTGTTTTACTACTGCAAGGTTTCATTCTAAACTCAGAAACTGTCCACGGAGATTTCAAAGCAGAGAACACCAGGACTCCTAAATTTTAATTTCACAGTCAGTATCTCTTATCTTAGCCAGACTCCTTTGAGGGTTTTGAGGATAAAACAGACTTTTATTGTTTTTCACCAAATATGCTGCAGGTCAGACGATTAAAAACTGAGTCCTCTGGCTGCGTTAGTTCTGATTACTGCACTTTCTGTGGTGGATAAAATCAGGTTTTTCAGCGTTGGTGGGTATTTTTTAAAATTAAAAAGTTAACCTTTGGGTAATTATAAGAGATTTTATCAGTTCATTTGTTTTAAGGGAAACCCTAACTCCCTTTTCCGCTTTATGACTGATGTGAATTGATTATGTGAGCTCTCTTCTGGTACTAAAAAAACTTTACTCCCTTGTTATACACTGGAACTATACTTTTCTTTTCTGTAAAGAGGCACTGACAGAGGGTCTGATCCCTGTGCTTTCTTCTTCATTTAATATTTCGATTAGGGCGTCTAGTGTGAGAACCCCAGAATCGCGTTACTGCTTTTTGCAGATGATGTGGTTCTGTTGGTGCACTGGGCAGGTTTGTAGCAGCTTCCAACTCTGAGGCCACGGTTCTCTGATGAAAACCAGCTAATTGCTTCCTCTGAGTGGTGGGTGAGTTTGCTGCCTCAAGCAACGGAGGTTAGGTATCTCAAGATCTTCTTCATGAGTCATTGGAAAATGGAGCTTGACTGCAGCATCAGCAGTGTTGCAGGCCTCGTACCGGACCATCGCGGTGTAGAGGAGGCCGAGTGGCAATGCAAAGCTCTGGATTTACCAGTCGATCCACATTCCAACCCTCACCTATGATCGTTAGCTCTGGGAAGCAACTGAAAGAACGACATACAAGCAGCCAAAATTAGGCTGTGTTCCAATTTTCATACGTCCACACTACATAGGACGCCAGAAAAAGATTAAGTATGTCCCAATGCAGTAGCATGTCAGAAATACTTAGATGTCCTACGACAGTTGAAACCAGAAGTTGACATACACTGTGTAAAAAAAAAAGATGCATTACCTTCTTTTTTTCCTCACTGACATTAAATGCAACTAAAATTTTCCTGTTTTAGGTCCAGCAAACTATTGGGAGAAGCTTGGGGAAGGAAACCCAAAACGTTTGACCCAAGTCATACAGTCTAAAGGCAATGTTATCACATACTAAGGAAATGTATGTTTGCTTTTGATTTGGCAGAAAGTAATAAAAAATTCTCTAAAAAATTCTCTCTGTCATTATTCTGGCGTTTAGCAAATAGAAATAATTTTGGTATCCCTAAGTGACCTAAAAGATTAGTCTGATTTAATGTCAGACAGTGAGAAAAAAAGGTTATGTGTCTTTTTATATAGTGTATGTAAACTTCTGGTTTCAGCTGTATACATGCAGTCAGATTTTACAGCATACAATCCAGCATGCTCATTCTGACCCACAATCCTCTGCACAGTTACATCACATATGTTGTGGTATCCAGCGACTGTGACAGTCAAAGTTTAAAACACAACATTAGGATCAAGTAGTCAGTCCAAATCGTATGCATTGTGCAGGAAACTGTGTGTACTTTGAGAGAGCAGTTGTAGAAAAAAAAAAAAGTATTAGATCTGGAACGCAGCCTGAGTTTCCTCCGTAGGGTTGCTGGGCTCAGACTTAGAGATAAGGATAGTTTGGGAATCCACAGGGAGCTCAGAGTAGAGAAGCTGCACTTTTGCATAGAAAGGAGCCAACTGAGGTGGCTGATTAGGATTCCTCCTGGTTTCCTGGCATGTCTAAGAGCCCCGGGTAGATCCAGAACTCTCTGATGGAATTATAATATCTCATCTGGGCTTAGGGAAGTAGAAAGTGTAGCTTGGGAGAGGGACGTTCATTTGGCTCGTTTAGCCTGCTGTCACCAGCTCTAGACTTTGGCTCCAAGTTTCAGCAACATTCTCTCAGTTTGGCTCAGAGGAAACTGATAGATTTCATCACTCATAGAGCCATCATGGTGTTGTGGTTCAAGCACTGCAGAGATGGTTTCTTACAGTAATGATAAAAAAGCACACTGACTTTCCAAAGAAGTCATCAACAACTCCTGTAACTCATAGTAGAAAGACATGACACACAACACAACGACTCACAGCTGCATCTGAAACGCAGACAGCCAGATGAGTCAGCGTTTTACTTTAAGCTTTACTCTGCTGCGTTACAGTTTGTTTACTGAGGAGCCGAGGCAGCAAACACAACGCAGTTCAGCTCACCAGGAGGAAAGGCAGAACGCTGAAGTATTTCTCATATGAAGTCTTTGTTTTTCCTTGTCACAAAGCTGTCTGTTCAATTTTACAGTGTGAGAAACAAAAAACAGACGAACGCAAGATAACAGGAATGACGTCGGGTTTTTACAGCAGGCTGCCTGACCTCTCAGCAGGAGTAGAGGACGAGGGAAAGCTGAGGTCAAATCGCTAGCTGAGACCACAGAGCGATAAACGCCGGCAGAGGTTTTTAGTTATGCAGGTGGATTACAGATAGAGCTGCACGATACCGGGAAAAAAAAAAAAACTGTTGTTCTGTGATATATATGCTGTGATAGGAGAAATATGGACATTTTCACCAGATGACTGAAGAAATAAGGAGAGTGCATCTGCATAGAAAATGAAAATATCAGTTTGGAACCATTAAATAAGGTGCAGCACTGGTAAAGACATCCAAAATAGTTTTTAGCTTTGGATGGGATTCAGATCTGACTGAATTAATTAGTTGTGTTGCCAACGATTGCCACTGCGTGTTTCTTTCTGTTGCTGAAATTTTATCATACAACTGATGCTGCATTTGATTTTGCAGTTAATATTTCCTTTCCAGGGTTTCTCTCCACTTCCTGCTCATTTTGCTGGGCACATGTGAAGCCTGCAGATTGGTTTGGGAAAATGAGTTTTCTTTTTGTATCGAGCAACAACAACAAAAAAAAGGTGTACTGTGATGTGTTTGAGGTCGTTTGAAACAATATATTGTGCAGCTGTAATTAAATTTATGTCAGTGTATGATGTTCCATCTGTAGGGAGGAAAACACAAATCCATAATAAACCACTTTGGTCTTTAATCTTACATGAAGAGCTTCAGATTTTCAGTGAAATAAATGTTTGGTAAGCAAACAACTGCTTTTGTCTCTCTACAATCTTTGTCTGTATTTTCTATTGCTTCAGCTGTTTGCTACATTTTAAGTTCCAATATTAACATTTATAGGCAACATGCCAACATTAAATGAACAATTAATAGCTCATAATTAAATATCACAGTCTTTGGTTTTGCTTGTGGTTTGCTTCAGTTTCTGTTCTTCTTTGTGTGTTTTCTCTCCTTCCTGGTTTCACCTCAGCTCATCTATCAGCCTCTGTATACAGATTCTTGTCTCTTCCCGTTTCAGTTGCCAGTTTCCTTGCTTACCTGACTGACTGTTCCTCCTGAACTTCTGCTTCTTTGAACCCTTTGGTTTGACTTCCTTTCTTTCTCACTTCAGTTTGTTTCATGCTTTTGTTGCCCATTTTCAGTTAACCTTTGCCTCCTGTGTTTCTTGAAGTGATCTTTGTATCAGATTAGTTATTAAAGCTCACTTGTTGTTGTTGGAAACCTGCCTCGTGTGTCTGCATATCGTCCTCTTTAAACACTCCACACAGAAAGCATTTATGAATGCATTTGGAAGCCTCCTGTGGATGACTGAAGGCTGCTTTTATATCAGCATGAATGAGAATATGGTAAAATGTAATCATAGAAATACAGTTTCTGCTTTAAGGAGCACGTTCTGTACAGGGCAGATGGTATAATTCACCATCATTTATAACAGAATTCCTGAATAAAACTGCTTGTAAAATTCTGTTAAAGGTCTTAACAGGTTGTGAATAGAAACAGGAGAGGATTGTTCACTATGCTTTTGTAGATTGTAGTTGCTGACTTTAAGTGTTTCCTGGTGCCCATTTATTTTAAATACTCGTTTTATTTCTGAGTACATCTATTTTTGTTAATGTTCACACCTGCATATGTTTGCATGAATTTGTTGCAGCTGTTACATTAGTCATGATGAATTCAGCTTCATCAACAAGTCTGTTTCCACATAGGAGTTTCTATCTTCACCTGTTTGTGTTCTCATTCGTGGAAGTCTTGTGTTCTGCTAACTACATGATGGAACAGCTACATATTAAGTTGCATTGATGTCAGGAGTCAGTACCACTGCGAGACGGTTGAAAGTGGGTCGGAACCAACAAAATGCATCATAATGTTTTGCTTTCTATTCAGACAACCTTCCTCCTGCTTCTACTTTTCCGATCTTGTAGTGTAGTTGTCTCATAGACACAAGTTTTGGGCTGCTATCCTCAAAGGGGTCTGCACAGACTCTTGTGGACTTGGAGAGACGACAAAAATTTACGCTATGCGGATCATAATGGGCTTGCAGATGAGGAAAGTATAAAGCCTTAATTGTACTCCCGTACAGACAAAAACAGGCTTTGTTAGTTGCAGTTATGGTACTACTTTTCTAGTTTTCTGGAATCTGCTTGAAGAACTCTATACCATATGCGTGCACGTATTTTACGCATTTGTATACTCCTGCCAATATGCAAACTGTTGCAGCATAGTTTATATTTGCAGCTCACAAATTTTGGGCTGCATCCTGACGTCTGCCGAGTGGTCGTGTGGATTTTTGTGAACTTTGGGAGACATAATTTACATCTCGTGGGTGCAGAAAGTATAAAGTCTTGACCATATCTCCTTATGGATGCACACACAGACAGTTGCAAAATGAATGGCTGTGTAGTTGTTGCTATTACATGATTACGCTGTGTTCTATACATAAACAGTAAATCGTATATTATTCTGCACATGCATGCTGCTGCAGAGCATTAATATGGCAGACTTGGGATGATGCCAGAATTTCTGTGTACGCAGACTCTTGTGGATGTGGATCATATTACACTCAATTTAGGTATGCGATGAACTTAGTGAGTGAAATTTCCAAGATCCTTTGATATGATGGTGATATAAATGGGCCCCGATTACCTTTGATGAGTGCCTTGTGTCCACATGAGACCACACACTTCAGTTTGTCATATTTTTGCACACCTTCCTCTGTACTATCATCACACGTAGTTTATGTTACTTCATGTAATCCTTTAGCTTCCACTAACTGGAGCATATACAGTGCAGCTCTTCCTTTCCTTTGGGTAAACCACATAAACAACCTGCAAGTAATGAATCACAGCATCCTGCTAATTGATTCTAATCAAGATTGGTCTTCATTCATCTTCCCAGTGGACTGACTGGCTGTCATGCTGCAAGATTAATGAGCAGGTTTCAAACCTACTGTGTATGTACTCAGTCTGTACATGTGCAAAAAAAAAAAAGAAAAAAGATAAAATAAACCATACAACAAGAATAAAAAATAAATAATTTCTTACCGTATCTTAACTGTGCTGCAGTAGGTGGTGCAATTTCCAGCTGCCCTGAAAAAAAAGAGGAAAAAGAAGTGTTATGAAAGTATTCAAGTCTCTTCTGGTCTCTTTTCTATGGAAGGAAAAGTCAGGATGAATGTCAGACAGTTCTTAAATGGAAAATGCGATCAAGTCAGGACCTTTTGGGTACAGAGAGGGGAGGAAAAAAAAGTAGGTAAGGGAGGAACCTTTAGCAACATGACAGAGGAGATGAAGACCAGTCAGAGGAAGGAGTGAGGAAACAGCATCTCCCCTGAGACAGAAAGGATGAGGACAAAAGTGACGTCAACAAATGATAATCATGGTGCCAGTCAGGCCTCAGAAGAGAAGGAACACTGATGAACAGGCGCGCAGGAGACGAGAAGTGATTTTTTTTCTGCCTTCCTATCAACAGATTTAAAGCACCAACATCTAGTGTAACCTAGACAAAAACTAAATGACTCTTCTGAGATCGAATAAAAAATTCTTCAACACTGTGACACTGACGTTAAAGAGAAACCAAAGTTAAAGAGCTGTAAACTCGATTGGAGATAAGAGACAGCAGAATAAAATCAGGCTGGATGTGCCACATTTACGAGACAGCGACTGGAGCGTGGAGTATGACAATAATTGCATTTAAGGCCGAAGACACAAGGTTGGGTCATTTCCTTTGCAGGCTCGGTGAAATTGGATGCCATGAGGCCAGTGGAAATGTTAGCCCACATAATGAAGTCTGTCCCTTCACTTCCAGGTGTTATTGCACCGCTGCTCAGTTAACCAGCTGATTTCACTCGGTGCTGAAGGCAGCTGAATTCCCAACAGAGTCTGTTTCAACTACTACGACTCCCAAGACACTCTAATGCATCCACACTTTACTCCCTCACGCACTACTGGCCTCGCTACAAGTTAGAAAAATGTCCAAATGCCAAAATCCAGACTTGTTTTCTAGGAAGGAGAACTGTCAATTACTGACTCTGGGCCAAGACCACCTATATAAAAACGGCTTCTGGATTTACAGCTGGAACAGTTTTGACTCTGCAGCCACTTAAAATATCAATTTAGTTACAAAAAGGATTCAGTTTGGCAATTTAAAATTCCGTCACGTCACAAAATGCATAGAAAACATTTTTTAATTTCCTTAATCTTGTCTGCTTTGTTCATCTGCATCCATCTAATTCTTGCTTCTTTCTTCCTCTCAGGACTCGCCGTCTATGGCACCAGTTCAATGTTCAGTACCAAAGTTTGGCTATTAGAGGTAAATAATTCCTTATCTTTAACATCATGGAGCTTTATAATGCATTTTGGACAGTGTTAGTGGAATTGTGTTGGATGAGTTTGGCTAGAAAACGCCATGAAAATGGAAAAAATGTTTAAAAATTAAGAAGAACAAAAGCTTTGTTCACTAGAGACTCAGGATGCTCTGCTGTGGTAGAAAAATGTCTGCAATAAGTATTAATGGTTGCAGTGCCACTATATACGGCTAAATGTTGGAAAAGCAAACCACGTCCGACTTGCCGTAGCTTCTGACAGAACTATAGATATCTGCAACGTCATGTTTCCAAATCGTAAATCATAGATCATAAATCATAAAAACGTCAAACATCACTGTGTCTGTAGTATGCAGAGCCAGAGTTTATATTGGTAACCTATGGAAACACTAAATGTTGTACATGTGGATTCCAACAATTTTTAATTTAATTCATTTAAATCATTTATGATCTATTTTGTTGTATTTGTGTCATACTGCACAGAAGACATTTGAGTTCTCTCTCCTTCTTCGCGGTTGTTCTGTTTCCTTAGAGGTGCAGGACTTTATATTGCAGTGCAACATGAGGCCATAGTGAGGAAAACTGAAACAGGAGTAAATTAAAACACCGAGAAAGTGGCTGGAGGGTTAAACTGCAGATATCTGAAACTTGAATTACAACCAGTCAAAATTCAGCCTCAAATATCTGCTGCTGAGCTGTAGATTTATGTCATTAGAAACTCCATAGACATGAATGATGATAACATTTATATCAGTAAGAACGACATTGTGGATATCTGTAAAAATTAATTTTGACAAAAAAAAAAGAACCAAATCAAAGACATCTGCACTGTTCAGTCTGGCTATTAAATGTTAAACCAGGCCGCCATGGTGTCGGATTACAAACCTCTTAGTTCAGCCTTCAGTCCAAACCTCCGTCTCACGTTTCTCACACAACAATAGACAATTGTTCACCTGAATGACGACCTTTCATTGGAGTGAAAACGCTCCCCAGACGTTCACTGTGTTCATCATCAGCGCTCATATAGATCTGTCACTGCCTCTAGCTTCTGCAGCTGCTTGTGCATAATGAAATATTGTTCATTTCCCCCCATGAGCATCGTTGCAGCCATTATCTCGTTTCACAGGTTTTGTAAAATCCTCTCACCTCCACCGACGTCAACTCGCAGCAAACTGGCAGCGATGAAGATTCTTTTCTGCGGAGGATGGATCGTACTTCGTACTACAAACCGTTTCTCCCCCGTTTATCGCTCATTCAGGGCTTGTTTAAGGATTTAATTAATCCTGTGATCACCAGCATGAGCAGAATTACTGCTGCATCCAACACATAACTGTTCTCACCTAAGTCTTCCTGATGCTGAATTATTCTCAACTGCTCTATCTGCCGATACCCACTGATGCTACACAGAGGAATCAGTTTTTCATCAAAACAACCCAAGTTTCACTCTACTGGATGTATCCAAGCAGTGATTATTGCCAGTTTAAGAAGAAGAAAACATTTCACACATCTTCGAAGTACGGAAGTAAAGATAACAGCTATAAGGCTTATTCTAGTGAACCTCAACCACCGTCAGACGGGTGATAATAAATCAAACCCGAGAAGGTCGGTTGAATTAGTCACCTCCTGAGTCGAGGGCAGCGCTGTCAAATCATGTGCTGTGAAAGGCCACGAGTACAGCACAGCTCAGTATTCACTCCTGTGTGTTTTCTACCATCTACAGCTTTTTTTCTTCTTCTGCCAGTTATTGTCTAAAACTTTCAAAAACTTTTAGAAGATTAATTTTCCCAATCTTCAGATAAACTTTTTATCCATTAGCTCACTTATGATTTTTGTGAAAATCACCAGATTTAGTATTCTAATCACTGCATCCTGGAATCATTGGAATAATCTGGTGTTACTTTTAGCCCTCAAGGTATTTGGAGAGTCATGCATGATAAATATCTTAACCTCAGGGCTCGATGTTAACATTTGTAAGACTAAAGTTCAGTTTTGTTTTAAATAATAGGAGCATCTGCCATGATCAACCCCTCTCATATCATATAATCTGTTTGTTTTAATACTATATCATAAAAATGAAAAGGAAAAATCAACTTTAGAGGTTAAAGAAACTACAGAGTCACCATTTATAAACGAGAAAGTACTTTTCTGAAGCTCAGAACATAAAATTGTGGTTAAAAATGAGCTCATTTCATTGGATCCCCTTTAGCTCCCGCTGTAGTTGCAAATCCTTTTGGAGTCTGCACAATGAAAAATGTTGGCTGGTAATTAGTTTTTGCATGTTTCTGGCTCACCTAACTAATGCGCCAGACAGCAGACAACGTAGTCAGACTCTCCTGAATGAAAATGCAGCCGATTATTTGTCTAATAGCTATCCGTCCCACTAAGAAATGAAAGGAAAAAAAAGCCCGACACATCATTCTGGGCCCATTTCGGTGGCCTGTTCCCGCTGCATTTTCTCATCACTTACAAAGAATGAAAACGCAGCTGAGTCACCGTCTCACGGCGAGTCACATGGAATAAAAAAAAAATCCATTAATAAGATACAGAGTCCCTTAAGAAGATATTTCTCCTCCAATCCTCTGGGCTTCATCCAGCCCATTTATTAGAACCCTGATGGCTGACATGGTCGTCTTTTGCCCCCCAAATGCTTTTGGTACAAAGTATTGATTGCATGGAGTCTTATATCCCCCCCAGACTTCAATTTCGACAGAATGAAAACATTTAATGGGCTGTGATAAGTCACAAACCAGGAGCATGATTAAATACCAAAGCAGCCATGTTTCATTCTTTTCAAGCCTTGTCCAATCATACATCCGCCCTCTGCTGAATCACCCACATCTGGCAGCTGATAAAGAGCGTCTTTACAGATCCACTGCAAACATGTCACCATTTCAGTCACAGATCTTAACAGCTAATTGCTGGATCAGCGACAGCCCTTCTGTCAAGCATTTTCTATACACCACCTACAAAATCCCCGAGACCATGAAAAGGCTGTTAAATGTCTCAACAATCTAATCATTACGAGAAAAAACACACCCCACTGGATGTGCAGAGCGGTGTGAGCGAGGACACACTATATAAAAGTTTGAATATGTACTGTACTCTGATCATCTAATATTTCACTGGGTCTGTATGCCCTTGGTGAAAGGTACAACTCTATATTCCCCATTTAGACAGCCAGGCAGCACCTGAAAGGATAAATCGAAGAAGCTCTTATTTTAAATTAACTCTCAATCTCATCAGAAATCAGTACAGTCTTGTAAAAAAATGTCAAATGATTGTAAACTGCATCCATTCTGAATAATTGCAATAATTCTACATTGACAAGTGGAGGATTTTGTCTTATTAACCATCAAAAACACAAACTTTAGAAAGACTATTTTGAAAATACAGGACTCCCAAGTAGAAACTCAACAACACTGAATAAACCTGTGATTAGTAAGCAACTAAAAAAAAAAAAAAATCAGTGGAAACAAGTTACAGTAGAAGTGGTCGTTCTCCTGAAATGACTCCATGGACAGTGAACTACTTCCACAATCTAGCTGTGAAAACACAGACGGACGAGAGCTTCAGACTGTTCACAGGGGTTATTTAAGGAAATCAGAGTTTCTGTGTTAGCTCAGACACAAGAACGTTGCATAACATCAACCTCTGCGGACGATATCCAGGACAAAAAATAGTTTGCTCTGCAGTATGAATCTGCAAACTTTGCTAAAGGACAAGCCTGATGAATGTTGGGAGAACGTTCTTTGGTCAGATGAGATC